ATTCCGGATCCCATTAACGATTGGAATCAGGAATCCAAGTTCCACTGACAAAGAATCTGGAATCCGCTACCTGAGAATCCGGAATCCACGGTGTAGAGTCCAGAATCCAAGACTGTATTGGATTATCTTAAATGAGGCGGTAAATTGCTATAAAAGCGAATTCGTTTTTTTAAAAAATAAAGAAAGGGAGTCTTAAAATACAAGTAAAATAAGACATTTTCTTTCTTTTTCAACATTCAATGTATTTTTTAATATTTCTATTCTTGCAATAACTTAAATCAAACATATCGTAATTACCATATTCTGAACGTGAATTCTTTCCTAATTTCCTTCTTTGTAACCTTCCTGGTTTGATTATTTCTTGGTCACCGTAAATCAATTTAAGCATTATGCTCTTTCAATTTTTTTAAAAGAAGAAATAAAACCCTCCAAACCCCCTTAAGCCCCTATGTTATTTTTGCTAAAAAGGAGGTTCAAAGTTCATTTTCTACCGGGTAATACCCACCGGTTACGCGAAAAAATGTCATTCTAATGTCTGCAATGTATAGTAGTCGGTGACAACTTTGTTTGAGTCGGCAACAACAACAACTCTATCACCTGGACTGCATTAATGTCTGCAATGTATAGTAGTCGGTGACAACTTTGTTTGAGTCGACAACAACAACAACTCTATCACCTGGACTGCATCAAAATGCAGAGTCAGGGTGAATACAGTGAAAAATATCTACCCGACTCCTTCGTCACGTGCTTTTAAAATACGCGCCCTATAACTTCAAGCCTGTTCAGTTGTTAGTGGACGTTTAAATCTCCAGGTACGAGCAACCTTACACTTCGTAACTCCCCAAATATACTGCTTCTATCTAAGTTGTCGGCTACCCGAGTGTCATGCCGGACACTTCTTCAATACAACGCATACGACGCCATTCCAATAGTGCTGGTTTCTTTGAAATTTCAACTATTCGGGTCGTTAGCCTGAGTATGATCGACAAGCGGTGTCTTTCTTGATCTGTCAATGGACTTCATGATCCTTGCAACTTCAAATTCCCGTTTTATCCGTCAACAGGTACAATCTTGTTGTTTCTTCGGTTCATTTCCATCTGCGGTTGTTCTTGTCTGCAGGACTGGGCCTCTGGAGTTGAACTAGAGATCGCTGGCGGTCTCCCGATCTTAAACAAATGCCAGGCTTGCCTTCTAATGTTTTGTAGCTTTCTATTCCATGCTGCCCTTATCTGAAACAAGAATGGAGACGATGGTTAGAAACTAGAAAGTGCTGCTAAGGGGGAGGGGGGGGGGGGGTAACCGCGATTTGGACCATCTAGGGAATAAACACTCCTACAAAATTTGAACAAAAAAAGGTTGGAATGGGTAAAAAGTACATTCCAGAGCAACCTACACAAATAGCTTCTGGGGCAACCTTCCGTCAGCGTTTCTAATANCGTTAGCCTGAGTATGATCGACAAGCGGTGTCTTTCTTGATCTGTCAATGGACTTCATGATCCTTGCAACTTCAAATTCCCGTTTTATCCGTCAACAGGTACAATCTTGTTGTTTCTTCGGTTCATTTCCATCTGCGGTTGTTCTTGTCTGCAGGACTGGGCCTCTGGAGTTGAACTAGAGATCGCTGGCGGTCTCCCGATCTTAAACAAATGCCAGGCTTGCCTTCTAATGTTTTGTAGCTTTCTATTCCATGCTGCCCTTATCTGAAACAAGAATGGAGACGATGGTTAGAAACTAGAAAGTGCTGCTAAGGGGGAGGGGGGGGGGGGTGTAACGAGATTTGGTCAAAGTCAGGAACAGAAACTACTCATCAAATTGAGCAAAAAATGGCTCGAATGGGTTAATAGGTCATTTCCGAGTTACCTCAAGAAATAGCTTATTGGGGAAACTTACCTCAGAGTTTCTTATACAGTGTAAGAGAAAGATCAGCAATCCCTGAAGTAACCAAAAGACAGAAGGAGATAATACAATTACTATCATTCGCTATATATTTCTTAGGGACAAAAACTTTGGTCTGCAACTCCATCCAAGAATACACTCAAGGAAAAGTCAGTAACAACCTTTCAACAATTTGCATTCTCAACACATCTTTATGCCAAGCAGTAGTGCAGCAGTTGTTAGATTAAGAAGCCTTTCGTGAAGAATTTCTCCATTTGTAAGAATTTTAACTAACGTAAGATCCATGAATCACAGAAAAAGAGGTCGTTTCAGGGCAAGCGCTAATTCGACAAGGATACTTGACTGTCACCATTCCATGAAGGCAGGGAAATGGTTACAAGCTGTCGGGGCAGTGAATTATGGAATCATTTGGGTGTACAAGCTAAGCGTGAGCTTTGATGGGTGGATAGAATCCAAAGGCAACCATTAAGCAATCACTGGTTACGTTGCTTACCGAAATGATCACAGATCCCAATCTTTGCTTGGGTAGCTTGTACCCTTTCTTCTTCTATGTTTTAGAGTAGCGGACATATTAGAGTGTGTTTTAAAAATTTCCCCTTGATTTTCTTCGTACAATTTTTCTCTCGTTAAACTCAGGGGTAATGTTGAAGTATACCATGAAACCATAAGTCTACGTGAGTTATACAGACCGTTTATTGTTCTTAGTATATTTCTTCACTTACCTGTAGTGTGTTCAGCACCGTAAAAACATATTGTGAAACAAGTCCAGCGTTAGAGAGACTCAGCAAACCAAACAACCATGTGACTCCCAAAAGAGGAAATAACACAATGCAAGCTTTTACAGTTGTCCTAATAAAAGAAACTGGATTAAATTAGTTATTCAGTTCAAAAGTCAGAAGATAAAAGTCTTGCGTCATCCACCCAAACGACTTTGGAGCCATATCTTCTGTAGACTACCCTGATTTTATCTAAATCTGGGATCACTTTTATAGAAAGAAACTGATTTCATAAAATTTGTGTTTGCAAGCACGAGCAGCAGTGGGACGAGAGTTTTATATTTATATTTCTAGCTGGCTCTGCAGTTGCTCATTGTGGTAATAATTTAACAATAAGAATTGAGCTACGTTTTGTAGGGCGGAGTATGTCCATTAGTAAATTAAAGGCAAGAGTAAATTAAGATGCTTATTTTTTGAGGGGGGGTGGGGGCGTTAGGGTTAAGTTCGGGCACTCTATCCCTGTCTCCAAATCTTCTCTAAGCCTGAATGTTGAAGGCGCGTTTAGTGGCCTTCTTTTACTTTGAAAACAGAGGCAGAATGGGGAGAGTAGAAACTTCAGCCGAACTAGGCCACTAACTTTATCCCATGGAACTTTCTGGACCCTGTGCTTGGCATAGCAACCATTTCCTTTACGACCCCACAAAACACCACCGCGTTTATCTGAAGAAAAAACACAAAATCCAGTTGTCAATCAGTCATATTGTCGTACATGTGAGGACGCATTTTTCTACACGATGACAAGAATTGATAAACGAGACTTTTTTTCGAAAACGAAAAGTAATCATAATCTCCAACCAATGATTATTACCAAGCTCTGTTCATATCACTTCTCGATGTTTGAAACGCTCCCTCCTCCGAACAGTTTTTTGGTCTTTCAGGCTTTTTACATGAGAAGATTGAGGCATAATGTAGAATTAAGGGTTATGATCGGGGTGTGGCTCCTAGTTTTAAAGGTGATGTTACGCGGGACGATTCGCAAAGACGGTTTTTAGCGCAACACAGCTTTTCAATGTTGGAACATTGTTGCAACCATTTGAAACAATGTTACAACAATGTTGAAACGCTGTATTGCGCAAAAAACTGTCTTTGCGATCGTCCCGTATAACATCACCTTAAGTATGACGTAAATTGGTTGAACACATACACGTCTAATCAGGATTTTGTTTACTTGTTTGTTTGTTTGTATATTTTATACGGGCGTAATGAATTGATAGCAGAATAAATTGTCAGTAAAAATGAGCCTGCGATAGCTACTTACAACAGTTATTAATATCACTGGTGCTGCAAACGACCATATATAGTACTTTTCCGTCGATAGCCAGCACCTAATTGTAATAAAGATAAGACAAGCGTTTCTGCTTAAACGATGACTTGTACCTTACACGCGGCACACCTATATTTCGTTGACTTTAAAGCTAATGAGAAATTCAATAAAGAAATTTTCGTGTACGCACATAAAAAAAAGAATCCCAAAAGTTGATTGATCATTAAGCTCAGTGGTGATGTACACGGTTCAGCATTTATTGCAGCTCCTGTTCAACAAATGTTGAAACAGTGTGTCAGGCGGCCAGGTCAGTCATCTAGTTTTATTACCACATGATTGATTGATAGATAGATAGATAGATACCGGTAGATAGATAGACAGATAGATAGATAGATAGATAGATAGATAGATAGATAGATAGATAGATAGAGATAGATAGATAGATAGATAGATAGATAGATAGATAGATAGATAGATAGATAGATAGATAGATAGCTTTATTCTCAACAGAGCGCCTAAAGGCGTATGTGCTTACAGCGATAACAAAGAGTACAGTGCAATAAATGTAGTACAAGGGACGTGGAATGACAGTAGAAGTTCTCTTTTAACTACAGAGGTGCACATTTGTAAAATTTATACCATTAGACAAGGTTATATTTCACATATCTTTCTCTTTCGCGCAAACGATCACATAGTTTACGGGTATTTAGCCACAATTTTGTGCGTTTTTTCCCCTCGCTTCATACTTATCAACTTTGCAAATTAAAAGCAGTGCTTGGAGTCATAGAGTCAAGAAAAAGATTATTTCCGTATTCACATGATACTAGTACTTGTATCCTTACGAGTTTCTATATAGTCAGTTGCAAGGCAATGAGAAAATCTTACCAGCTACTGGATTTGTATTGATAAATCCCTTTTTCTCCCAAATGGGCAATTAACACTGTTACTCCAACAACAAGTCCTGGGATTCCTGTGCACACAAAATGACCATCATATCANAGATAGATAGATAGACAGACAGACAGACAGACAGACAGACAGACAGACAGACAGACCAACAGATAGATAGATAGATAGATAGATAGATAGCTTGCTTTATTCTCAACAGAGCGCCTAAAGGCACAAGTGCTTACAGCGATTACAAAGAGTACAGTGCAATAAATGTAGTACAATGGACGTGGAATGACAGTAGAAGTTCTCTTTTGACTACAGAGGTGTACATTTGTAAAATTTATACCATTAGACAAGGTTATATTTAACGTATCTTTCTCTTTCGCGCAAACGATCACATAGTTTACGGGTATTTAGCCACATTTTTGTGCGTTTTTTCTCCTTGCTTCATATTTGTCAACTTTGCAAAAGCAGTGCTTGCAGTCATAGAGTCAAGAAAAATATTAGTTTCCGTATCCACATGATGCTAGCACTTGTATCCTTACGAGTTTCTATATAGTCAGTTGCAAGGCAATGAGAAAATCTTACCAGCTACTGGATTTGTATTGATAAATCCCTTTTTCTCCCAAATGGGCAATTAACACTGTTACTCCAACAACAAGTCCTGGGATTCCTGTGCACACAAAATGACCATCATATCACTGTATTTTGTTCCGTAAGATTTAGAAGAAAGGATTAATCTTGAACACAACAAGAATTTAAGCTGACGAACGACGCTGAAGTGAATGTAGGTTTAGTGAACGGAAGTAAATTCATGCAGTGCATAAAAGTCACCAAGTCAACTATTGGTGTATTTGATTTGACATCCGGCAGCACTGTTAAGTACTTTGAAAGATCAACCCAAAGAGTTTTGGTCTATATTATATTTTACCGGAGTAGACCAGAAAGATAGCAGATATAACAAATTAGCAAAATCTAGGGAAGGCGTTTTCCAGTGTCAAAAAAACATCAGCTTTGTTTCAAAATTTTACAGAGATTTCTTGGCTTTAACTTACGTTTCTTCACTGAGAGACTTACCGAATGAAAAAGTGTAGCAAAGACGGAGCTTGAGTTCATTATTGTAGACTTCAATGATTAATAAGTATAACATAATGCCCTCGATCAACATCCAGCAGAAGGCTGATAGACAGAAGTAGTGTAACAAAGCGGCCACTGTCAAACACAGCACCTATTAGAACAGAATAATGCGTTATAGTAACAATTGATTCAAGCTATTTCTCCGTTTCTGATTGCCTTAAATCTCCCGTATATTTTTGTATAACGTGTTAACGCTGAACACATTAAATTAAGAAGTTTTTAATCCCAGGGAGAGTACGTCACAGCCCGCAGCCCGCCAAATTTCGGCTATTAGTAAGCGGCACCCAAACAGTGACTACGGGGTTTCTCGTTTAGTTGCTTACGCTGTAATTAGTATAACGCACATAAGATGTAATTACTGGAAAACCAGAAGCGTCAATTACCTTCCCCATAAAGTGAAAAAAGTCTATGATAGGTTTAAAGACCATTGATTGCCAAAGAAAAAAAGGAAGAAAAAAAAAATAAGAGAAAAGTCGAGTATTATTCTCACGTATTAGATACTACGCCTCAAGACAGGTCTTCACGTTCCAGGATTTGGTGCTACGGTGAAAGGTCATTTCCAGGCATGCACACTGCGTTTGTTTTGGGCTTTTTTACTTCCAATCGTCGTAGTAGAGGTCGCCGTTATAGTGATTTCCTTAAATTTTCTTATTGTCTATCCTATCATCATCTTCAACCTCGTCATTATCGTCGTCGTCATTATCATCATCACCATCGTCGTTATCACTCATGGTTATCGCCTTGGCTTCGTCGTCATTATCATCGTCATCACCTTTATCATCATCATCATCATCATCATCATCATCATCATCCACCCTCTCCCTCTACGTCTCCTATTCTTTGTTTTGATTACCATCGTCACCATTATCAGCATGTTATCAGCTTTATTATTCATAGTTAAACTACTCTTAATCACCTGATCTTGTGAAGCGTCTATTCCTGCCAGAAAAATCACTTGAGCCATTGCAAGCGTGGCGACTAAGTTCATGTGCACATGACTTTGCTGGTCATTATTCGAACATCTACAGATGGTATAAAAAGTGAACAATTATGAGTCAACTATTGTACTACTTGCGAGTAAAAATTTATTTATAGAAAATATTCTAAGGTTTGGCTAGGAGATCTAGTACTTTTAGAAAAAGCTAAAGGTCCTTATATCGTTGTAATAGCTGTTTTAATTTATAGATAGTCACGTTTAAACTCGCAAACTAGCGTTAAACGCATATTTCGTAGTAAAATGAATAATTAAAAACTTGAATTGCTTCTTTTTGCTAATAATAACCTTCGCTATTCGAACTTGTAAACAACAACAACAACAACAAGCCGAGAAGATTTTCTTGTCAACGTTATGATAGTGTACATAGTATCTCATGGAATAATCCTACTAGCGGCTCTCGTTCAAGTTTGTAATACTTACAACAGTAGCATATAGGCAACGATTGTGATAGTTTCTGCCAGTAAGGAGACTCCCAGTCCAATGTATGTGATAAAGTCTAAGGCTGTTTTGTGCTTCTTTGGGATCTGAAAAGGACAAAAAGAAAAAACATAACGTTCGCGTCTTCAATTTTTCAGAAAGTATAGAAATACCTGAAATACGTTCTTTTACATCGGATTGATGTGAGGGTTTTGAGTTTACATGGAATTGAATGCTACAGAGCTCTGTGTATACTGTTTGATTGTGAGATTATTGCTTGCATCGCCTTCTGTGGAGTTTAAATCATGATCTAGTATATTCCACATTAACTTGATATTAAATTTTAATTTAAAAAACTTGGTACGAAATGAAGAGGCTTAGAAATTTCCAGAAATTATTTGCACCTTAATGTACTGGAGAGGTTTGTCGGCCTTGATGACCTAGGAAGATATACCATGAATTGTGACCTTGGTCAATGGTGGGTCACGTTCAAACTTGCTGGGCAGGTTTTCGGTGAAATGTCTGACGAATTGCAACGCCTTGAGTATCCAGGTTTTGGGGTTGCCGGCGATAGATTAACTTCCCTTTCCCGTTAAAGAATCAATTCTGCAGAAACCAGGAAAACTTTTCATGATAGCATGCGGAGACTTGTGAACGCCTTATGGCTCTTGGTCTGATAGAGCGCCAAGAGGCAAGGAGAGGTTGAGTTGAGCCTTTTCGGCTGTTTGGATCAAACGGTGTCTTCTACATAGTACTTCATAGTTTACGTTACAGATATTAACAAATACTAATATCATTTGGTTTTAACCCACAACCACATTACCTCCTGTGGGTTGATGTTCATTAAAATTGCAAAATTCGTCAGATGATTGCACGTGCACACAGCGTGACTGCCGTTTGTTTTAACCAATGAACATCCATTACCTGACCAGCTACCGTTATTTCTGAAAGGAATTGTAACACGTGTCAAATTTATTGCTGGGGACAATTTAATAAAACTTTAATTTACCAGTGTAACATCATGGGTTCCGAATTACTCCTTCATTTTGGTGAGCAATTTCAGCGTAATTTATGATTTCACACAAACTCTTGTTTCACATGTGAAATGAAAAAATCGCCCGCATTGCCACCAACCATCCGTACGTCTCAGTGCCAAGATGGTTTAAAATGTTTTGAATGAAGATGTCAGGGCATTAAAAGACGCTTTAGAAAACCCAAACACACGAAAGAGCACATCAAGAAGGATTCTCTTTCTATTTTGTCGAAAATTCGGAACTTGAGCTAAATACTCACTCTAAACTTTTTAGACAGTAGAGAGTTCTTGATCGACTGATAAATCCTGGATAAACATGTCAAAAATCTACGATTGCAAACGTATTTCGTCCCCCATGATATTAATCCTAGGTAATCAAATGGTATATTTGTGAAATTAGGGAATAACTTCACTTGCGTTTTGTCCAAATCCTAAAAATTTTCCTAGGATTTGGACAAAACGAGCTTGAAATTAACGAGCTAGAAATTATTCCCTAATTACACTCGTCACCATTCGATTACACATGCTAATTTTCAAATGTGCCCATTGCTTTAGCGCCTAAGAGCTATATAGCTACACTTGTAAATTGCACTTGTAATAGCTTTATTAAATTGACTCCTGGTTTGCATATGACGTCATGGCAGCTATGACCAAAAGGATGCCTATCCACTGGGAACTAAATTCGATTTTCATGTAAATTTCTGAAAAGAATTTTATTGTATTGATCTCCAAATTGGCCGCCATGTCACGTGGCTGCAAACTAAGAATAGTGGCAAATAAAATAGCTATTGTGGTGATGCGCATGCTTGCAATAAAAACATCTCTTACCTATTAAAAAAATTGGGAGAAGAACTTGAAATATCTTAAGTGATTAAAAAATGAAATTTCTGGCCTTCATTGGTAGAAATCGTACTCTCTTGGAAGAAATCTATTACACCTTTGCAAATTTTGGAGAGTTGTCTGATAATTATTTTTTAATAAGTGCTCATGGGTATAAGCCTGTATTTTCGGCAATTTCGATAATTATCAACAGAAATATTTTATCAGTGCTAGGCAAAAAAATCTAAGAAACAGGATTCGGAATCCACTAGCACTTGTACTGCCGAATTATGTTAAAAAACTAAACTTTGTCAGACATTTGATGATGCTGGCTTATCTAAATACGTTTTCTTACGGGTGTGAGTAGTTCCACTTCCAAAATACACATTTTTCTGTCTCCTTGTGTTCTTTTTCCTGCAACAAAGTAGCACTTAATACTAAACTTCATATTGGGAATACAAGAAGAATGGAAAATTTGGTTTAGTGTTTGTTTGTTTTTAATTTGTTTCTTTGATTATTTGTTTTTAACCTAAAATAGAAATTTTCTGAACTGTTGATAGTAAGTGGAGATGGGGGTTATTGAAACACGAAAGCGATGTCCTGCTACCCGTCAGGCAGGCCACTGTCAGGCACATGTGCTCACAGGTGACCTAAGGTCCGTTTCTCCAAAGTCTCCTAACTTTTCGGGCAGGAATTCACAAATTCAAAATTTACATATAAAGAATGTACTAGCGTGGGAAACCCTCCATTTTGCTATGTTAACTGATAGTTTTAAAAAATTATCTTGAAAACTATTGAAACCTCTATCTTGAAAATAAACAGCAAACAGCTTTTCGGGGCCCGTTGATTATTGGGACTTTCAAGAAACTGGCCCCAGCAGCACATTTATTTCGTTCAATAATAGTTATGGTTATCATTATCATTACAATTCCCATGGGTATTGCTATTCCCATTATCATAATCATAATCATAAGCATTATTATTATCATTATCGTTATCATACTTGTACTGCTATTGTTATTATTATTATTATTAGTAAAAAAAACTGCGGGAGCAACCCGCTTTTGATAGCCTTGCGTAGTTCAGTATGTCGCTTGTGCGTGAAAAAATATTTACCTTGAACGTTCGGAGAACAATGGTTACATTCTCCCTAAAAACTCCATTGTTGTACGGCTTAATGCTACTTCCTAGGATGTTAGAATCAATACGTTTATTGCTGTTGAAAAAGAAGCGAGAAAGTAAGTGTATAAACGTTAATAATTCGATGTAAAACATTGTGAGAGACATTAAACTACAGCGAGACGCTCCTGTACACAGATTAATATGTATAAAAAATTTCACCGGCAGGTTTATTTTTGAACCCTTCGATATGTTTAAAATTTTAATAATGTCATAGCTAAATGTAAGAAAATAATTCTGCAGTGACGTTCATTTTAGAGACGGTCTTTATTGGAAAAGGAATGATGCTTCAGTATAGCTAATGAAAAGTTATGGTGCAAGATCACTGCAAAAAACCGTGTATGGAATCTCGTTAGGATTTGCAGCCTTCATGTGTTACAATATGAATATCTGCCTTTTCTCAAAGGGTTTTAAAATTGTTAGTTTCTAGCCTCTTTTTTCAGTTCAGCAGCTGAGTTCCATAACGCTTAGCCGACGTTGCTTTTGCTGCAAATATACAGTACACAGGGGCGGATCTAGGGGGAGGGTGCAGGGGGTGCGCACCCTCCCCTGAGATGACTTGCGGTTNATACGTTTATTGCTGTTGAAAAAGAAGCGAGAAAGTAAGTGTATAAACGTTAATAATTCGATGTAAAACATTGTGAGAGACATTAAACTACAGCGAGACGCTCCTGTACACAGATTAATATGTATAAAAAATTTCACCGGCAGGTTTATTTTTGAACCCTTCGATATGTTTAAAATTTTAATAATGTTATAGGTAAATGTAAGAAAATAATTCTGCAGTGACGTTCATTTTAGAGACGGTCTTTATTGGAAAAGGAATGATGCTTCAGTATAGCTAATGAAAAGTTATGGTGCAAGATCACTGCAAAAAACCGTGTATGGAATCTCGTTAGGATTTGCAGCCTTCATGTGTTACAATATGAATATCTGCCTTTTCTCAAAGGGTTTTAAAATTGTTAGTTTCTAGGCTCTTTTTTCAGTTCAGCAGCTGAGTTCCATAACGCTTAGCCGACGTTGCTTTTGCTGCAAATATACAGTACACAGGGGCGGATCTAGGGGGAGGGTGCAGGGGGTGCGCACCCTCCCCTGAGATGACTTGCGGTTTTCTAATACAATTGGTATTCTGCAAAAAAAAAAAACTATGTGGTTTATTGGTGTTGAAGTAGAGCAAGAGACGAGTGCACCCCTCCTAAAAAAAAACCTGGATCCGCCCCTGGTACAGTTGTTTTGAAAAACGTTTTTACTTCATTAGAGATGATGAGCGATGGTTTGGATGATTTGCTGTCGCAGGCGGTGGATCAATACGAAAAAGAAGAGGTAGTTTTAGACGATGGACTCGATGGAACTCTTTCCTAGAGTCTTGATATGTTTGAGCAGAAGAGTCTTGAAGACGACGCTATCGGTATTACCTACATGTTTGAGGTTGGCGGGCCTATTTTGGTGATGGGAAGGCGCTTGTAGCCGTTCGGAACATCTTTTGGAATGCCTTTCTTTTGCTTTTCGCTCAATTCTTATCTTGATTTATTGTATTGGCATGCCTGCCCGGTGAACTGTTGACAGGATGAAGAGGGTCGATTTGAAATAAACGCAGAAAAAGATTTGGTTCAGCTGACCGTCCAGTCTGTATAAAAAAATACCAAAGAAAAACTTCACAGGTTTTTATACGGTAGTAAACCCGAAAGTTTCTTTTTTCTCCAATGAAATTTTTGAAAAGTTAAGAAAATCACTGGGTGTTGAAAGGAAAACTTCTGCTCAGAATAACTTGGGTTTAAAGCCGAAAAGAGCGGATGTAATTTCTGTTTCAACTGATAATGACCTGTAGAAAAGCAATATTTTGGGAAGCGATAACCCTGAAGCTTTAGTTAAGGACAACTTTTATTTGATCAGATTAAATTTCGGTATGAGCGCGGGGGATGGCCCCTGCGAATTGAGTGCAAAATTTGCGAACTTGGCAAATAGTTTCACGTGCGATTACGTAACTCCTGATGATAAATACTGATCTGGCTTAGAAATCATCAATTCTTGCTCAGGTTTTAGCGGAGCCACGTAGGGGTGAACGGCCCATCCCCCACCCAGAAAATCGCGTGGGTTGTATAATTACTAACTACCTCTAAGCCAAGCTGTCCCAGCTCGGCTTAGTTCGCTGATCAATCTTTTTCCCGTACCTTAATACAACTGAGCATGAATATGAATTTCAGTTGTTGAGCTGGAGTGGGTTTAAAAACTCGAGGCGAAGTCGAAAGTTTTTACACTTGATAATACACGACTGCAACTTTTTTTGGACGGCTTTAAAATCTTTAGATTTGGTATTAACTGTGTCTGTATCAGATGTAAAGACACTAATTAAACATTAATTTCTTTTGTTTTTTTCTTTATAAATTCTTGATGCATTTTTGAAGCATAATGAAAGCTACACGGCAAGACGTGAAGTCGAAACAAGGATGTGGTATCACCAGGGATGAAACAGGGACCTCGCGCAACGAAGGCCGCGCACTATGCAGCTGTGCCATCCTTGCGTCTAAGTAAGAACCTGCTATGATTAGGCTAGAACTCAATGGAACCAAAAGGCCTGAGGATGTATGATCAAGATTGATTGTTAATGTCAATTTCAAATTTATTTTTCTCGACATCCTATGCCACATTTTCATTTTCCTATATATCCTTTATCAGGATTATTTGTAATAAACCATTCTTACCTTGCAACTAAGCTATCAACGTATTTACCAAGACCAAGATACAGCGTGTTAACAACAACAGTATCTGAAAATAACACAGAGACAAACATAATACGACTTTATAGACATGGGTAGAAATAAAGGCAATGGAAGTTCTGAACATTCTTTAGAGGGTCCTGAAGGAAAGGTACAATTTTGTTTTGAGATCCCCGAGTGTTCCTTTCTAAGCTCATCAATAATTCATGAGTTTTTGGAAATCAGATGAGAAAAATACTTATTTTTACATCCTTAATTTCTCATTCTAAAATCATTTTGTTTGAGAAGCAATATCAAGCTTTCGACACAGCATTTCATCACTCGATGAGACACCTCGAAGTTTGTCAAAAATACCAGTGCGCTGCGGCGTCGTAATTTCAACTCTCTTCTCAGTGTTTATCTTGTGATGAAACACTGTGCCTCATGCTTGATATATTACATGAAAGTCTGCCCCAGATCCCTTTTCCTAGGAAAGGAGGTTCTGATCCCGCATTCCCTTCTGATCCTTCCCATTCCTTCCGTTTCTTATGAGAATCTAGCATGCCGAACTTCTGTCATCGTCATCCAGAGTATCGTTTCCTTTCGCAATCCCCACCGATTCGATCCGTGCCCGCATTTTGGCGAATCCCACATCCTGTCAAATCCAGTATCCCGTTAACTTAGCGTTTCGCGAATTCCGCACTGCATTTGGTCAAATTCTGGATCCCGGGATAAAACACTCTTCCAGAACCCCTTTCCCTTCGAATTACTCAAATTCATCCTCCCGTCTTAAATTGGCCGTATGAGGGAATTCAAGAAAGTCTTGGATACTGTATTCCACGCCGTGGATTCCGGATTCCATCAACTGGTTCCAGATTTTTTGTCAGTGGAACTTGGATTCCAGATTCGAATGATTAGTAGGATTCCGGAATCCTTGAGCTGTATTCCTGATTCCTGTTATTACCCGATGCAATCGTGTTACTTCAACTTAATACTTGTATATGAAGTTATGCTATTTGGGAGAATGCTATTTTGAAGAGTCAACAAAGAAACACTACGGCCTTTATGAATCGCGAAGATTCGAATTCACTTTTTTGGACCCGGGAAAATTACATGTATTCCTTTAGAGTAGAAACTTTAAAAAACATTGGTCCAACCTTAATTGATTGGTTCCTCTCAGCAATCTCACCTTGATTTTGAAACAAGTACGACGGAAGAGTTATTTTTGCCAGTTTTTCAGCATCACCCTCTCCGGAAAAAGTAAAATTGTTAGGGTCACCTTTAGGTACCAGCGCTACCTGTAGAACTATATGAAGGAATGAAAGAAATATATGAACAAGATCCTTGTCAGTTTATGAGAAGTTTAAATTCACTTTCTTTCTGTACTAGACATAATTAGATGATAGAGAAATAGTAACACTAAAACACAAAACTTAGGAAGGACTCAAATGTGTATTTCGTACCTATGTGTTGGTTTTTCTTTCTTGCCTCCCTTTTTGACGCATTCAAGTTAAAAGAGGCGTATTTAAACGCAAATTCTTCTATAGCTCTTGCTGATAACATTACACTTTCACCAGTTGCAGTTTTGGAGTTTTCTTCCATGGAATGCATTAAATCTTTATATGCGTCTGTGATAAGCTGTGAAAAATACATAAATAATAAATAAATAAATAAATTAAAAAATAAATAAAAATAAATAATTTTGCATTCATCCTGGGTATTTCCTCTTGGGGTCAGGTTTTGCCCATTTATTGAGTGCCGAGCCACCCCTCCCCCTCCCCTCACTTGCAGTTTCCCCAGTGTGACTGCGTGATTTCACTAAGCTGTATTAGTATTAATCATTTTTAATTACTTCAGATTTACATCAACTGAAACCTATTTTTTTCCTTTTGCGCTTCCTTCTCTAACCAAAAACTCTTACTGCGCATGCGTTTCTATTCATGATCAACCTTGGGCTGCATTTAAGCTATGACTTTTTTATTTCTTTCAACACCACGCTATTGACCCATTTCGGTTATATTTTTGACGAGTTACTACAGTAATTGCCTCTTCGTCTTTTTTCGGTTTTCTTACCTTTAATGAAACTGGGTCTTGTGGATTAAGTGACTCCACCTTTCTGTAAAAATCTAACAACTTAAAAAATATATATGAAATATTAGGAAGCATCCTAAAAACCCCCAGAAGAATCTGACTTTATTTCGTATAAACCCTCATAGATGGGAGGATTTCTAATATTGCTCGTTTGAAAGATGTCCTATTAACAACTGCGATAGAGGGAGAATCGTGTCGATAAAAAAGAGTCTAATCTGACTCGTTTTGAAAGTACTTGATAACTGTGCTTAATTTTAATCGAGTTAATAATAAACTTTAAGTTTTCGATCATGACATATATCGTTTACTCGTCGGTACTGTATAATGATGCGATGCGCTGGGATTGGAATTTCCT